CAAAATTCCAATCACACAGGAAATATGTGAAAGAATCAATTTTGGAAGTATAACCATTACTTTGTTTCCACCAACAGAGTGAAGACACAACACACAGAATAGGAAAAAATATTTTGCCAGCTGATCCTCAAGGACTAATACATAGAATATATAAATAACTCAAAAAATCAGACCCTCCTCCTCCACAAATGTAAAGACCCAACCCAAAAATGGGCATCTGAAATTAATACTTCTCAGATAATGAAGTAGGAGCATTAAATAAATATATGAAAAATGTCTAAAATCACTGGTCAATTGATACATGCAAATTAAAACAACACAGAGATTACATCTCTCCAGAAAGAATGGCTGTAATCAAGAAATCAACCAGGGGCTGGTGAGATGGCTCAGTGGTCTAAAGCACCTACTTAGAACAAGCTTAGCAAAGCACAGGGACCGCGGTTCAATCCCCCAGCACCACATGCCAGCCAGCCCCGTCCCCTGGTGGGCTGAGCTGGTCACACACGCACACACACACACACACACACACACATAAATAAATAAATAAAAATTAAAAAAAAAAAAAAAGAAATCAACCAGGGCCCAGGGAGATAGCTCAGTAGAATAAGTGCTTGCCTGGCAAGCGCAGGGTCCTGAGTTCAACAACAAGTACCACAAAAAAAAGAAAAGAAAAAAAGAAAAAAAAATCAACCAATAGCTGGAGGGACTGTGGGAAGAAAATAACTATTCTCCACAGTTGGTGGGAGTGCAGACTGATGGAACCATTGTGGAAATCAGTGTGGAGATTCCTCCAAAAACTAAAACCAAAGTCTCCAGTTGACCTGGATATTAGGCTTCTTGGTATCTTCCTGTAAGAATTAAAAGTAACAGCAATATATGCACACCCATGTTTACAATGGCACAGTTTATAACAGCTAAATCTTGGAAACAATCCAAATGCCTGCCCATAACCAGATAATGGATAAAGAAAACATGGGTTTTTTTAAATATAATGGAGTCTACTCTGCCATAAAGAAGGATAAGTTTGGGACAAATCTAGCTAAATGGATACATCTTGAAGCAATGCTCTTAAGTGAAATAAACTGGACACACATGTTTAAACACTGCATTGTTTCTGTGGTGTGAGAAACTGAAAATGTAAATAAGGACTAAAATGTATAATAGATATTGGGAAATGGGGAGAAAATGTTTGAAATGAGAAGAGAACAGGGAGGGAGAGGGGGAAAGGAAGGAAGGGACGATAAAATCAATAGAAGGGGAAAATGGAAACAAAGCTGTTATAAATAAGGAGGAAAAGAGGGGTTTAAAGGAATGGGGAGGAATAGGAAAAAAAGAAGAAGCATGGTATATCATGTACAAGTACAAATTCTCTATGATGAGAGTTGACATTATGTACGTCTTAATGTGCAAATAAAAAAAGGTGGAGGGAGGAAAAAAGGAAGAGAGGGGAGGGCATGGGATGGGACAGAATGAAGAAAAGAACTGAGATGCGTTACATATCTGTTTCAACTCCCCATGAGACATGTGATTATTATGTACTGCAAACATGCAATAATAAACAAAAACTTTTAAAACTTCACTCATCAGTGAATCTCTCATTATTTGTTGATTTGTTCTAACTTTAATTTGAAAATCTAAAGACCTCTGCTGACAATCAGAAAAGAAAAAAAAAGCCAGTCATGGTAGTAATGTGCCTGTAATCCCCACACCTGAGAGGCTGAAGCAGGAGGATTGCTATAAATTCAAGGCCATTATGGGCTACACAGTGATGGCCAAGGTCAGCCTGAACTACATAGAGAAGCCCTATTTCAAAAACAAAAAGAAAGAGAGGAAGAAAGAAAGTGTTTGTGTTTCATGTCTGTTATTCAAAAAACAAAACAAACAAAAAGAAAAGAAAGAAAAACTGATTTTGCGGTTCGATATGTTTATTCAAAAAACAAAAAGAAAAAAATGTGCTTGTGTTTCATTTCTATGTTTACTCAACCAGATAAGCTAGTATAAAATCTACCATCTTTGTTTCCTGAGTTTTAGGTTTTATTTTTTATTCTGGACAGAAGTGAAAGGGATCAGAATATACCATCCCAAAATATGACACCTTGACACAAAGATTATTTTTAGCCAATTTCACTTGAGTGAGATTTAATAGATACATAAAGCAATCTTCTTGGAGCTTCCTTCAACTGACTAAATGCAGAGCTCTGCGACAACCCCCATACATCCACTCTTCTGGGAAAGCTTCCTGGTCATGAAAAAGGCAAAGCCAGCACCAGGGAGCTGCATAACGTGGCTAAGGTATCTTGACCTTCCATTTGTTTCCCCATAAATTTATTTTACCATGGTTTGCACCCCCTAAAAGCCTAAAAATCCTTTTCTTGGTCTTGTCATGTCACCACAATTTATTACACTTTGGTTAAAATGCCACATAAAATCCCAGACCTGTATCTTTTTTTCAGGTCACTGATTCTTTTCTAGAAAGGTCTCTGTGTCACATAAAAATGAACAACAAAGTCTATACACTGTTCTGCTAATCACTCTTCCACCTAATTCATGGATGCCCCATGTCCTCCCCAAGAAGAAAGCAAAGAAGAATGAGAGGGAGAAGCAAAGAAAAAAGACACCCAGAAGCTCTGGGTGAGAGTGGGGCAGTGGTCCCCGTTGCTGTTCTGCAGGTCTGGCCCCTCAAAGAAGCTGGAAGCACCTTTCAGAAACCACAGCCATAATCTCAGGTATGTGCACAAACAAATCCCAACTACACTCTCCTCATGCTGGTTAGAGGATGACAATCTCCTAAAATGCCTTTGGAAAGAATTTCTCAGGAATGTATTCCCAAACCCATCCTCTGGACTTAGGGGTATGCCTCAGTGGTATAGCATGTACTTAGCATGTTTTAGGACCTGATTTGATCCTCAGCACCTCAAGGAAGAAAAAGTATCTTCCAAATTATTTAGAAGAAAAAGAAAGTATATAGGAGAAGTTTAAGGGTGAGTGCCTACCTCCAATGTAAAATATCCAAACCCCTCCCTCAGGATTAGGGTGATCTCTAGGTCAAACCTCCGCACCTCTCTCACGCATTTCTGTTTTCAGCAGTCATTCCTACTTACTGAATGGTAATGATTTTACTTAATGTATCCCTAATCATTAAGGCAACTCTGAAGCGGAAGTATGATCTCATTTTATAGTTGAGGAAATTAAGCTTAGAGAGAAGGGTGACTCAGCCAAGCTGTTGAAACACAGCACACAGTATACAGCAAAGCATGAGACTGAAAGATCTATGCTTCTCCTGCTTCATCTTGGAGCCTCTCCACAGACTGTCTAGACCACTAAATTGACACAAATATTTGTTGCTCTAGACAACCCTAGAATTGCTACTTAGAGTCTCTCTATTTCACTTGCATGATCTTTCTCTCCCAACTTGAATACAACATGCTCAAGGCCTGACTGTTTCCCCTTCTTTTGTCTGCTTTGAGCCACTAGGAATGGTAAAGCTGCCTTGGAGAACAGGCATTTAGAGCATTCTACCTAAAGACATCAAAGGATTACTTGCTGACCTTTGTTAATGACCTTAAGAGGTCTTTGTCTATGGAACCTCCCTGGTCCTTCCAAAGGAATTGATTTCTACTGTAAGAAATGCTTTCTGAAGAGCTGGCATTTTGTCATCTACCCACCAACATCGGAAATAAAGCTTTGTTAAAACAAAACAGACAACAAGGAACATAAACAGATAATGAACTTGGGCATAATTACATCAGCACACAATGAACTCCAGGATCTCACTGTACTCTTATCTGCCAGGAGGCCAGCTCTAACTCTCCCCAGTGAGTACATTTCTACACTTGCAATCACTATTTTTACTATTCTTTAGATCAGACCCACAGGCCCTAGGGGACTCTGAAGGACAGAGAGTGTTAAAGCACTCCTGCCAAGTCCATTTTAAAAGAAGAAAGGGACTTTTTTAAATAGTGGAGCAATATGTGCCAATAACTCAGCTTCTCCAGTACAGTGTCTAAAATTTGGAAAAGTGTCTTGGATAGGAATGAAAGGGAGGGAAGGTTATCTAGGAACCAGGAGGAAACTGAGAAAAGCGGGGAAGGATGATAAATGACACAAAAGAAATAGAACACAGAAGCAGAGGACGGAGGTGGTCTGCTGCAAGCTGCGCAGCCAAGAGCAGCAAGCCAGTCACCATCAGGACACAAAGTGAAGATGAAAACTTTTCACTTGTGGAGAACCGCTCCACCCTGAGACTGAGAGGATCAGTGGCGGTTGGAACTAGCAAGGAAAATGTGGATACTGCTTCTGGAGCAGCCTTGGTGAGCGAGCCTGGTCCAGCACTCACTGCCACAATTATGGAACCAGACTGTCAGGGATACCACTGTAGGGAAGGGCTCAGTGTCTGAACCTGGGTCTCAGAGCAGCCCCTTGGCCCCAAATTCCCAGAGTAGATGAGGGATGGGCAGCCAGGGGAGTCAGCTAGGATTGGAAAGCAGGCTAGGTGTCCCCTGAGGGCTGAGCTGGTGGGCAGGGATCCACCTCCTGCAGTGGGAGAGCAGGCTGGAAGGTGACACGGCACCCTGTTCCCACGGTTGGTGGTCTGCATCCAGCACCATTCTGGGGATGTGGGGAAGGACTTCACCTCAGATTTACAGCATGAGAAGAGCTGTGTTTTGGTTTGAGGTCTTCTCCTTAATCCTAGACTATAAGAAATATCCACGTACCCAAAAACAATAGAAAACTTTATTTTTATTTTTTGATGTTTTCCTCCTTCTGTTCATTTTACCCCCATTTTCATTCCATTCTTTTCCCTTTTCTTGTGTGTGTATGTCTCTTGACTTTTTCTTCCAACATAGTTTATAGAGGAACCAGTCTCCAAGATGATTATAAACTGCATGCACTGCAAATACATCTAATAAAATGTTTCAAATAGAAATAAAGGGAGGAAAATAGGCAGACTAGAAGGAAGAGGATAGTCACTACCATGCCCAGCTGTCATTATGCCATACCTTCACATAGGTCGGATCCCACTGGAGACACTCCTTGGCAGTGAGAAATGCTTCATTCCATTTCCCAAGGCTGTAAAACGCATTGGATTTGCTGCAGAGCAGCACAGCCAACTCCCTTGGGGGAACCCTGTGGAAAGAACAAAAGGGAGGTCTGTAAAGCAGTTGTTTTACAGATCGAAAAACACCGTGAAGGCCACCATTCTGGAGCTGGCTGCTGCCATTAGGAAGAGGCTTTCATGCCAAAACTAGTCTCAGTTATGCCTAGGAGATAGCTCAATAAAATAAGCATTTGCCTGGCAAGCACAAGTGCCTGAGTTCAATCCCTGGTTCCACAAAAAAAAAAAAATTGTGAGCTATGCCTGTTAGATCTGTGCTTTTTAGATCCACTAGAGAGCCTAGAGCACTTCCAATACACAAATCCATCTCTTCGCTCAAATCCTCTGCTCCCACCTTCAGATGCCGTATGTCAGCACTTTGGTTCCATCTCCCACTGATCTTTGTAAAACTTACTTTAACAAATCTTTTAGAGATTATTAGAGAATATGTTTCAAAAATGGTGGCTGATCTAAGGACAGGGAGGAAGGCAGTTCCCTGAGTCTTTATAGTCCAGACAGGGTGTGAACCACTCCACATACATGCTGCTGCTAGGGGGATATAGAATACCACAGGAAGGACCGCTCAGAAGATGACCACTTCATCTACATGCCCAGCCCTCAGAACAAGCTACGGATAAGAAGCCTCCATGGGCAGGTTCTCTGAGCAGGGAACTCCAGGGTCCAGGCATCCACAGGGTAGACCAAAGCAGACAGGCAAGAGCTATAGGTGACTGAGGCCCTAGCCCTCCAAACTCCTGCCTCTAAGGAAAGATAAAGCCAGGAGGAGGAGGCTCTCTAAAGTAGAGAGGCAGCTACTAATCTTGCCTACGTCCAAAGTTAAGACATTAATGAGTTTAGTGCCAGCACCAAGTTGGAAGAAGAAAGATTTTTAAAATACATAGCACATAGAATTTAGTGATAGAAGAAATTAGTATCAGCTAATGAGGATAGATTTGAAAGGGAAAAATGGTTTTTGATGTAACAGGTATGGAGCTTTAAATAAATTTATGTTTCTGTAATTTCATATTTGCTGCTATAAGTAGCTCAGTATTTTACAGGGCTAACAAGCCTGACTCCATTTAATAGCAGTCCATTCTGGTGCAAGCAGCTGAGGTGGAACCTGCACCACTGTGTCCCCCAGGTGAGCCTGCACCACTGTGTCCCCCAGGTGAGCCTGCACCACTGTGTCCCCAGGTGAGACTGCACCATTGTGTCCCCCAAGTGAGACTGCACCACTGTGTCCCCCAGGT